TTTCGGATAACGAATCATGTACGAAAAAATATATTAATTTATCCCATGTTGAAATTTCTCTCCGTTGCGTGTCGCTTCGCGTTGAATTTTCGTCGATGTTAAGCCTAACGAAGACTATTGTATCGTTAAAAATTAGTTTTTTATTTTGTACAAACAAAATAAATTTATTGAAAAATATAAAAACAATAAAAAATTATACTTCAAATGTTAATTTAGTATCAAAAACGTAAAATATTTGAGTAGCTCGAGAAATAGCCGAAGATTGCAGCGCCACAGCACTAGCGAAAATTTAAATTTGCCGACTGGAATGCTTTCGGATAACGGACGTTTCGGATAACTAGCTTTCGGATAAACGACGCTCTACTGTAAATGCTAATTGATTTTGTGCTTAATTTTTTGTTTTTAGTTTTTTTGCTCAAAGCACCAAGAAGGCCTTTTCCTTTTTAATTATATCCAATGTGTGTTTGGCCAGACTTATAGTGGGAAAACTAGGTGGTGAGGGTCTGGGTCCAACATATCCAGTACGGATCGTCCATGAAAAAATTCTTGGGTTTACTCAGATTCGAACTTGTGTCTCCCAGAGCGGTAGGTGGATGCCTTAATCATCTCAGCCATCTAGTTGTCAAAGGCTTGATCTAACTGATAGATAGTGTACAAGGTCTAAGATCTTAGCAAGTCTTTGCTTGCATAAGTCCTCACAAAACTTAAAACTCGTATATATATTTACTTTTCATAGACACAATGCAGTGACACTTCTTATTAAACACTTGGCAGATTATTCATCTTTGATAAAAGATGAATAATCTGCCAAGTGTTTAAGAAGTGTCACTACATTGTGTCTATGAAAAGTAAAAGGAAATAAAAAAAAACACGGTTTTATTATATATGTAGTCGTATATATATATTTGGTTAAAAAAGAAGTTAACAGAAAAAACAATGATATAGAAGAGATATAACTTAGTACATCATTTGACTATACAGAAACTTTTTTTCCTTTTGACAAAATTTCTAATAAGACAAAATGATTTAATAAGCTTAGTAAATAATATAAAGACTTAATATGTGATGAAGCTGGAAAATGGTTGACTTTAATCATAAAAGTATAGTGTTGCGGAGTTGGTATAATTCATATTCCGACGACTCCGGCCTCGAATTTTATTATTGACTAGCAGACCCCGCCACGCGTTGTTGTGGCTCAAAATGTACAGTATCTATTATAAATTTATAACACTTCCCCGTGGGGGGAAATTTTTCGAAAAATTTCTTCTTAGTGTACATTCTGTTACGTACCCTATTAAAACGCAAAAAACCGCATCTAAAATAGTATAAATAGAAGCAGAGTTCTTTACGGTAAGCCTTAATCCTAACCATCTCCCTTCAGTGGGGGGAATTTCGACACGTATATTATATAAAAACACGTGCGTATTCGAATGCAGCGTTGTGTCAAAATTTCAAAGGAATCGGTAGGAACAAACGAACATTACATTTTTATTTATATAGATAGATAGAAGATGATCTGCTTTAGTTCATTTTCACAGAAAAGC